ATATATATATATATATATATATATATGTTCTTATGTATGTTGGGAAACTTAGATAGAGCATCACATGAGCAGCGGAAGAACAGAAAAAGTAAAATCTCAGATTTTTTATAGAAAAAAGTTCTTATCATCGTGCGAAGATTGGTGCGTAAAACAAAATATAAAATAAAAAATCACATATATCAAGTAAGATTTGTTACATACAAAGATTGTATATCCATAAAAAAATCCAGATCCGTAGAAATGGATGAAGGAGGTCAATTGCCCTCGTCTCTAGTAGTGATCCACATGATAGATGCGGCGAAGATGCTCCTTAAATCGTTGATGATCTTCCTCTCTACGTACACCACGTGATTAAGAAGGGACCAACCCTTCTTGTTGTCCAAATACCTTAAATGGGGTTGTTGATCGAGGATGAGAGGGAGGGAGGAGAATTTGATGTGGTAGCCAAAAAGGGTCTAGCATATGCTCTTTTGGTTCCCTGCTATTTATAGACGTCTTTATCAACTTAACTCTAATGGATCCTACCCTATTAGATATTGAATCTTTATCCAAACCTTTTGGATTAGTGTATCTCTATCCAATAAGATAGGGCTCTAGTGGATATTTCATATCCAAACATCTACTCATCGCAATACCTATCATACGTGTGTGACCCTTTAGACTCAATATTGGGTTGGCTGTGAGTCGTATCTATTAAAACTCCTTTTAACTCGGTGAATTATTGACTCATCGACTACAGACGTACTAGGCCACTACATTATAGTCTCTAAACGATATGAGGGGATCCAATTTGTTGGATATGTCTGTCTTTAGTTACCGTGTATCTATAGTCCTTCATCCATCTAACCCAAAGATCGTATACTGGATACGGTGCTGTCATACCCAATATAGAATCTACTTGAGTCTCGCTATAATCGGATTCTCTCAGAGAAATCCTTCTCTCTCAATTCGAATGACCTTGGTCAAGGATTTGCCTAAACAAGAATACATAAGATATTCCTCTCATGACACTGAAAGGGAATGATTATTTATTGATACTCAATTGCTTTCGTAAGGTTAGTCATCATTTCCAATAACTAGTTGTGCTAGATCTGAAATTTCAAAACCTATAAGTCTGGTGTCAAAGAATGAAGTACGCCAACAAGACATCCTTAGTGTCTCAAGCCTAAGGACTCGCTAAATAATTAGGACTACAGAATCACTATCTGATAATAAGGTATTATTAACCATCCAACATTCCATAAGTAGATCAATCAGTGAACTCATTTTCCCATGAGCATGTGCAATGTACCCCTAGTATCCCCACACAAGCAAATATGAGACCAATCGCCTCAATCATATTGATGGGTATACAGTACACCGATCTATCTGATTATCTTAATGTCCATCTCGATTAACTTATGACCGAGATTATTTAGGATCCGTGTTTAAAGGCAAATCGATCGCATTATCATAATTTCATTATGATCCAATTCCCATTGCACAAACTCATAGATATTATAATATATGCAACATGTAATCATAAAGTAAGAAAATGCTAATAATTATAATACATAAAAAAACTACACAATGTGTCACATGTGCCATCACTTACGTGATTGACTTACAAAGCACCTATGATTAGCAATTACAATTAGGTGTTTAATTGTGAACTATGACTTCGGTGTTTAATTGATGTTGGTTGCGACTAGCTAACATCGTTGCAATTGCATTATTGCAGTCGCTAGTCAAAGGCAATAATGTAGTGTCGATCTAAGGCAATGCCATTATCACAATCGCCATAAGCACCGACACCACTACGTGTGTGGCTACTACTTATGACCAAGGTAGGCTGTCGTAGTGACACTTGGGCTATTACACATACAAAGTAATGCATGCAACCATTGTCGGCTATCGCACCCTCTCGTTGCCCACAATAGCACCTATACGTAATCCTTGCCCATGACTAGGCCAACGACACTAGAGATCGTCGCCTTTAACAATGTTGTCATCGATAGTAAGCTACCGATGGTAGTTCATCGATCAAACATGAGAACCCCAAATCACCCATAAATAGGTGACAAAGACGAATGATATAGGAAAGTTGACCAACAACATAGATGAATCATTCAAGCATTGTACAATTATAATCGAATAACACCCTTTCATAAGCATAGGATGCTAATAAATAGATCTAAATATAAAATATATTAGGCATACTTTTATGATATAAGGTATTTGATTTTAAAACGTAACTCTGAAACTAATTGTAAGCAAAAAATCTATAATTATGCTTTTGTTATGTAAAAAATATTAATACCAGAAATAAAATCAAATAATGATTAATGAATATTATGATTGTGTATATTTCGATGTGGTTCAGAAAATCTTTATTTAATTTACAAATGCACTATCGTTGAATCCGAAAGCTATAGTGATATTAATACGTAATAAGAAGTTGATACACATTTTCCTCTCTTCTTATTTTTCATACGACTACTATAAACAATAGAATATAGACTAATAGAGATTAAAAATATATCTATAATATCAATTTTTGGTATTTCATCCCTATAAGATCTTATCTTTTATAGACAAGAATAGAAGGTATAGGATAATAATTAAAAGAGTCTCTTCTATCAAGATAATCTTCTAAGGAATACTATCATAAGTAGACTTTCTTTTAATTGATTGATAATCATAATTAAAATTCAATCAGATTTATAATATATCTTACATAATTAGATAGGATCACATAATTAAATAATAATAATTTAGATTATTTGAGAAGTTTTAAAAAAAATCTATTGGTAATCCTTTTTATTATCTACAATGAATTTTTAATATTTCTAAGATATTCTTCTATAAATGGATATAAATACTATTAATTTATTATTTAATTTCAACAAATTCTTCCATCTCGTTGTACATAACCCGTATATCTTTTTCTTTCTTTCCCTCCCCTTTCTTCTTATTCACTTCTTTTACTTATCCTAATCATCATAACATCTTTATCATCGGTGATATAAAGTAACAAAATAATAATAATCAAATGACACGATTTAAAAATAGAAATATTTTTACATTAGTGACCGAATGTTTTTAGGTCTTAAGGCATTGGGTTATAGGCCCGAAAGATGATATTCTGAATATTTATATAATAATTTAAAAAATATTATCTTTTACATCAATTTGCATCATCATAGAGATATCAAATTCCAAACCTTTACAAAAAATAAGTTTCATGAAGTAATGATAATTAAGAGGTGAAAAATAAGAATATGATTGATAATTAATGGGTTATATTTTGTAAATTTATATTTTATTATTTTCAATAATTGTGTGGACTAAGGGAATCTCCAAACAAAAGAAAAAAAAATCTGAAGTTGTAATATTTGGGAGTTTGTTATCATTTTAATTTGTCTTGGTCTTCACTTGATCACAGAATTGTGTTGGCACCATTAACAAGATCAAGATCCTATGGCAATGTCCCCCAACCACATGCTGTCTTATACTACTCCCAGAGAACCACGACTGGTGGCCTTCTGATCAGTGAAGCCGCTTGCGTCTCAGACACTGGTCGAGGGTAAAACATCATCCCTGTCACCTACGTAAAACATGTTCCATCGCTGTGATCTTTATCTGCTTTGGATGGATAGGTACCCCCACACGCCTGGCATATGGACGAAGGAGCATGTGGAGGCATGGAAGCCGATCGTGGATGCCGTGCATGCCAAGGGCGGGATCTTCTTCTGCCAGCTCTGGCACACTGGCAGGGTCTCCAACACTGGTAAGCAGCACGCATGTGATGAACTCAGGAGTATTCGTCTCTTGTGTTTGATCGTTGAGGTGTGTGTTCTCAGGGTATCAGCCTAATGGACAAGCTCCCATCTCCTGCACCGACAAGCCGGTGAACTCCGGCTTGCTGCTTGAAGATGAACCCGACGAGAAGTTCACTGTTCCCAGGCGATTACGAACGGATGAGATCCCTCGCGTTGTGGATGATTTCAGAAACGCTGCAAGGAATGCCATCGAAGCTGGTAACTTCGAACCATGTTCTTCGGATGGTCTTCATGCATGCATGCGTGCATTAACTCATTGTCGTCGATGCATCGAACAGGTTTCGACGGAGTGGAGATCCACGGAGCGCATGGGTACCTCATCGACCAGTTCCTGAAAGATAGCGTCAACGACCGGACGGACGAGTACGGTGGGAGCTTGGAGAAGCGCTGCCGGTTTGCTTTGGAGGTGGTGGAGGCCGTCGTCGACGAGATCGGAGCTGAGCGAGTGGGGTTACGCCTGTCGCCCTTTGCAGACTACCACGGTTGTTGGGACTCCGACCCTGAGGTTTCGGGGCTCTACCTCGTCCACCAGATCAACAAGCATGACCTTCTCTACTTGCATATGGTGGAGCCGAGGATGTCCATTGTGGAAGGCAGGCGCCAAATCCCCCACCGGCTTCTGCCGATGAGGAGAGCTTTCAAGGGAACCTTCATCGCTGCCGGCGGATACGACCGTGAGGAAGGCAACAAAGTGGTGGCGGAGGGCTACACGGATCTGGTGGCTTATGGTCGCCTCTTCATCTCCAACCCCGACTTGCCGAGGAGGTTCGAGCTCGACGCGCCTCTGAACGGGTATAACAGGCTCACCTTCTATACTTCTGATCCAGTGGAGGGGTACACAGATTACCCATTTCTTGAGCCTTCGGCCTGAGACTATCTCAAACTGAAGGGACTTTGAATCTTGAGCAATAATTCTTTGTGATGCCGTTGTCATGATGCATTATCGACACTAAAAACAAGCTTGAACATTCTGTAATGGATTAGAGGCTTCGGAAAAGAAGTGAGGTCTTATGTGTAGACAAGCTACAATTCATTTAGAATCTCCAAACATTTAATGTGCTGATTAAGTATACTGAATTAATTGTCCATATCAAATGAAAAATGCCACGAAAACTGGATTTTAACTGCAACAGCTGCTCTTCTGCTCAATGGGTTGACCCTTCATCTGAACAGTGGTAGGTTTGGTATCTGCAGTGTGTTGGTTTCCCATTCTGCAAGGGGACAAGCAAATGTAAGAGCTAAAAAACTCTCGCCTCATGATTCTTGTTCGAGAAATCGGAAAAAATATGCTTCTTTCTTGAGAAGAATGCTTAAACTGTTTGATGCACTATGGAATGGAAGACCAAACATTTGGACTAATTTCTACAACCAGAATGAAACTTGGAGAATTAGAAAAGCCCAAACTTGTGGTAAGGTAAAGCAGCCAACAGATTGATGTGGAAGAAGACATGCATTTGATAAAGATGAATCAAGGCTCAGTTATACTACCTTTTCTTAATTTCAGCGCACATGGTTAAGAAAGCTTTCTCCACGTTGATTGAATCCTTTGCACTCGTCTCAATGAAAGGAATACCAAGTGAATCAGCAAATGCCTGCATTAGACCATGGAAAACAGTAAGCCATCCAGGTCTAAACATGTTGGTTATCTTATCAAGCAACTTTTACTGCCCCTGACGTTCTTTAACCAAGAGATCACCAGGAGATGTAAGCTGAATTGCACATACCAAGCAATCTCATGAACACTTGCTTATAAAGTCACATTATCATTCTACAGTTGTTTTATTTTTCATTTTGGTTTTCAGCAGCTCAGCCACTGCAATGATGCAATAATCCAAACTCAGAAGGAGAACACTTGTTTGTTGGAGATAGTAGATATCATTACCTTTGCCTTTTCAGTTTCCACAACTCTGTCCTCAACCAAATCACATTTGTTTCCAACAAGAAGCTTGCACACACTGTCACTAGCATATCTGTCAATCTCACTTAGCCACTGCTTGATATTGTTGAAACTTTCCATCTCTGTAATGTCATAAACAATCTGGAAAAGGCCTCAAGGCATCAGCAGTAATTAAAACATTATCTCTAAGATCTAAGAACTCACAAGAATCGGTTAAAATTTCAAAGCTAAGAAGTACTTTATTTTGATTAACCAGATAACCCTAAGTGCCATAACCACTTCCTATGCATTTCTGAGTTTGATAGATTATGCAAACTCTAGCGGATAATCCTGGTACCTTATTGAACCAACTCTAGCATAGGCAAGAGTCATAGTGTCCTATAATGGCTGCAAAAGGAAATGACCAATGAACTTTCCACACAATGGGCAAAACTTTTGCTATTCTAAACTGAAAGTGCCTAAATTGCCTTAATGTTTTAGTTCCATGCTCAGTTTTCCATGACGAAAGGGAATTCATTATAGAGAAATTTTATTTAATAAAAAAATAATTATAAGAAACCATTCAAATATCTGAAGCAAACACAAATAAACAGAAAGGCATTACTACAATAAACAGAATAGCAACTATATTAGAAGAAAGCTCTTACAATGATCCCATGTGCTCCACGGTAATAACTGCTGGTTATGGTCCTGAACCGTTCCTGTCCTGCTGTATCCCACTTCAAGCAAACAAGATCATTGCCTCAAAATGATTGTACTAGACTATAACAAAAAATAACATACTAGTTCTTCTATTGGTTAAGGTAATTTAGAACCAGACTGATCACAGTTCTGCGTACAGTTATGGCACGAAAGTGTGCGAGAATAACAAAGGTTATCCTTCCAAGTTGTGCTTAAAAGTCCATGCTGATTACACATATCAGATCACCACATATAACAAAAAACAATTTACACTCCAGGTGAATCAACAATAGAAGCATTGTAACTCATGTTCTCAGAGCTTAGGTTTCTTTTCTAATGTTATAGGCTGACATGCAACAAAGATAACTATTTCCAAAGCCACCGTTAATCTGTTAGGATTAGAAAAGTTGTATAATGACTCATAATGATATTCTTCGACTTCTTAATAATCGCATAGGCCAAATCGAGAGAGAAATTAACTGCACGTTTAACACACAGTTAAAGTTTGCAACCTTAAAACTGGGAACCATTAGAAGTTGAAACCTCCAACATCCACCAGAACTCATAGTTGACATGATGAAAAATGAACTCAACTCTAATGTGTTACTAAAGTATACGACTGACATTGTAAGAATCAGAATTCATCAGTCTCTCATTAAAACGGCAAACACGAGTCACCAAACAGAGTCTGTGCATAACAAGCTAAAGTCATGCGGTGCGCATGTTTAATGGCATTTTACCAAGGATGATCATGCAATATATGGAGAAATAGTATAATGCCATTGCACTTCAATAACAGCCTTACAACTTAGAAAATCAATAGTTCACAGGGACTTCAGATGGCAAATCCCCACCTAGTGTATTGGTTTTTACCCAAATATATGATGGCATAAAGTATCCAACAACTCATTCCTCAAACTTCCAAAATTAAAAAAATACCTATCTTTTTCAAACAGGCGATCGAATGAAAAAACAAAATCCAACTTCCTCTATTGAAGAAAATAATGAAAATTATTAAATTATTTTGATGAGACATACAATTTGCAGCTTAATTGTCTTTCCATCCAGTTCCACAGTACGAATTTTCTGCAAAGAAAGACAATTGAGCAAACGACCACCAAACAAATTACATAAAAGAACATATTTTGATGCAAGTTTTCCAGAAGATACACGAGCAACTTACGAAATCAACACCAATGGTGCTGATGTAGCTATCAACGTACGAATCATCCTGAAAAGAAATACCAAAAGCTCATCAGCATGAACAAAAAAAAAACCAAATCTTTTGAAAACAACAAAGAACATCAACCATATTGCAACAATGAACCCTAGATTTCTAATGGTAGGGAAACATCCAGTCTAAAACTCACCGCGAATCTGATGAGAAGACATGACTTCCCGACCGAGGAATCCCCGATCAAGAGGAGCTTGAAGAGGTAATCGCTTTGGGGAAACAGATGGAAACGATCACACCAAGAAACCCAAGAACAATTAGAACAGGGGAGAAAACGACGAACAATGCACAATCGAGGAGCGGACGGAGCACGATCTTACTATTCGTTGTTCATATCGATGGATTGGGGATAGAAGCCAACACTTGTTCTGCGATCGACGATGAATTGGAGCTCAGATAGCAGGATGGGAAGGCGCAAAGGTAAAATGGCGTCTAGCTTTTCTCGGGTTCTTTCCGGCGTCTCGCACTCTTCCCAAGGAGGAAGCATAGGCAAACAAGCGGTCTCTTACCACTGTGTATTCCGTACTTGGGCCCCGCATGGCCCGCTGAATTATCGAATCAAAATTCGGGTACACGAGGGTCTCGTCTGATAATTGACACCCGATTAATACTTATCTTACTCGCTAGCGCCAGCCCGACTAGAATAGCTACTTACTAGTGGTGCATCTCAATTGGGTCCCACATGCCATTTCATATTCTCCAATTACGAGACGGGTAGGAAGGAGCATTGAAACGCGTTCTCAAATCTATCAAACATTGATGCGATAGTGTATCAGATATATTAATCAAAGATTAAAAGCTTGAAATCTTAATTCAATATATTTTATATTTTAAATATTAATATATATACACGTAGGAAGGGAAGCGAATCGGGTCGTGTTAAATGAAATCTATTCAAGATTAAGGAGGTTCCATATCTCTGACTAGACTCAATCAACTCGATACATATTTAAGATGTTTATATGATTGAAGACACACAATACAAATATGAAATGAACGTTTCACATCACTCGCCGATCTAAAACAGGTCAACCTTCGCGTATTTAAGAGGAAGATATAAAAAATAAGAACCGACAAATTGCAACTTAGTGGTGCCCCAATTCTCTACAAAACACCTCCACGCCATGATGAGGAGTCAAACGCGTGTCTAATGTTCTTCTTTTAGGCAAACAAGAATATATATATATATATATATATATAT